TTTTTTTTCGATTGCACAACGGATATTTATGCGACAATGAAGGCAATAATTTTCTGGCCAGTTTATAGAATTACGTGACAATGGCTTCTTACAGGTGGTGTCCAGCCATAGTAAATAGCATAATTTTTACATTAGATTGTTATATAGATGTCTCCCTAATTGGGGCGATGATGTTCTCAGTATACATAGAAGGGTTCTGGTGCTACCCAATCTTCTTCATCAGGGAGGTTGCTCAATATCATGGGTCGATGGTAATCATCTTTATGTATAAAACGACGGACCCTTTGTGGGAGAGTCATTCTTTGAGTCCTGTGAGGAGGAGTATTGATGATATAATCCGTGGTATTTACCACTTGTATAGGATGTTCTCTATCTGGCATGTATAGTTCTTGCATTGTATAGAGTTGTTTCTTTTTTAGGGTGTCAAGGCGTACATTTATGGCAGTAATATCTTGTTGTATGTGTAAATCTGCCATTTTAACTCTGTCTCTCCTCCTGGTATCGGTAATGAAGCGAAGAGCTCTATTCTGGACCCTTTGTAACCGTAGCATGTTGGTCTTTGTTGTTAATGACATTGGGACACAAGGGTATTCGAGTATTGGTCTTATTATCATTTTATTCAGATGTTTTTTGATATGTTGAGGGGCTTGATTGAATCGAAAGAGACTGCTAAGACCGGCTTTGGCTATGTTGATCTTTTTAGTTACATGAGATGTTGAGTGGAGCAGCCTGTCTATTTCATATCCCAAAATCTTGTTAGGGTTTCTAATGGCTACAGGTGTACCTCTGATGGAGATACCCCTTTATCTTCAATTGTTGATGCAAAACATCCTATCGTGCTAACAAGGACCTTGTCAGGATTAGTCGTAATTCTCCATTTCTTTTCCCAATTAGATGTTCTACGAAGTTCAATATTCATTTTTTCTATGACTCTCTCATACTTGTATTTTCCTGTTACCGGAGTTGATGAGACGACATGAATAACATCATCTGCAAACTGTGTCACAATTGTATCATTAAACTCTGGTTGAGGAAGGTCATTCACATAAATGTTGAACAGAATTGGACTTAGACAAGAACCTTGTGGGACACCAGCTGTCGGTATAAAAGGCTCTGTCGACCTGCCATGAAAGGTGGGAATGATTTTTCTTTGAGTTAAGAAATTATATATTAATCTGAGAAAAGTCCAGTTATGGTCTGGTAGGTCAATGAGTTTGTATATAAGGCCATCATGCCATAAGCTATCAAAAGCTTTATGAACATCTCTGGTGGCAATTAAGGCAAGATTGCCCTGATGTTTTAGACTTGCTACAGTATCGAAAATAACATTTATTGCATGATTGGTACCTCTATGTGTTCTAAAACCAAATTGTTTTTCAGTAAAAAAAGTGATTAAACTCCATATAGTAGTTCAATGTTGGAAATGACTTTCTCAAGAACTTTTCCAGTGACTTCAAGTAAAAATATAGGTCTACAGTTCCCAGGTTGGTGGATGTCTTTATTGGGCTTACTAAGAAAGATCATCCTAGCAGTCTTAAAAACAACTGGAAAATGTCCTGAGGCCAAGATGGCATTAAAGATATTTACCAAAGACTGTTTACAATTTCTGGGTAGGAACTTTATTTGTTTCATTGTTATTCCAGAGAGGCCAGGGGCTCTATTTCGCATTCTGCCAATAACCTGACTCATCTCTAGTAATGTAATAGGTCTAGTAAGCGGGTGGGTATCTTCAAGAGTTGAAGTATCGATGGAAGGTAGTGGTTGTAGATCATCCAAGTTCTCATCTCTCCATTCATTTACCAACTGATAATGATTATTGTTAAATTGACGACTGTTATTGTGGGAGAGAATTTTCTCCCATACATCACCCATCAAATTAGCCTGGTCCTGTGGATCGTCAAGTTTAATTTCAACATCTTCATCATCCTCATCAGTGAAGGTATGAACTAGGTAGTTAGGAGCCTTGTGCTTTGCCCCTAAAAGTTGTCGGATCTTACTCCAAAATTTTGCTGGTTCACGTTTATACTGATTAGCTTGAAGGACTAGCAATTTCCATAAGTCCCGTTTGTGATGACTAATCATGTTAATTAATTCTTGCCTTAATCGGTGCAGTGTAGCTACCGGTGATTGTCGCGTTTGAAGATGCCTTCGACATTCTGCTTGATAATTTCTTAAATTGTCTCTAATTTCCCTAGTAGGTTTATATTGTTGGTATATCTTTGTGGAAGCTAATTGACAAGTTGCATTAGTAGCTTCAATTATTCGATTATGCAGGGACCCGATTGCATCATCAATTGCAGTGGAAGGTAGATTTTCCAATGACACAATTTCATCGTCACCCAGAAATGCCCTGAAGGGGTCAAATCCTAGGGTGTTAAGATTGGGTTTAGGAGGTACAGGGATTCTAAATGGAGAAGTTTGTAGTTGTATTATAACAGGGATATGGTCAGATCCTACGTTTCCACCAGGAGATATACGACAGTGAAAGATGTCACAGTCTTTGTTTGTCAGTACTATATCTGGTGTCCCTGGATGAGGTCCAATGTACGATTTAAAGAATGGGCCTTGAAATGACAAGTTTCTAGCTGTCATGATATTAAATAGTTGTTTTCCTTTTAAGTCACCCAGTGGAATACCAGCTCCACAGTTGAAGAGGGCAGGGTGATGAGCATTAAAATCTCCTGCTAGAATTGTTGGAATATTTCTGCTTAATATCCTATGTAGAGGAATTGACTCTATATATTGTTTGTCTCGGGGGAAAATATCCAGTTCCTATCACTAGTTGTCCATGAGACGTTGTCATTCTATTGCAAGAATGTTATCTTCATCAACATGAATATTTTAAATGTATAGCCTAATTTAACTAAGATGGCTACACCACTAAAGGGTCCTCTCGATTTCTCCACAGTAGAGTAACCACGTAATTTAATGTGTTGATCAACTCTTGCAGCTGTCTCGTTCAAGAGTATAACATCGGGATTGTAATTATGTAGTTCAACCTCAAGGAGGTAACGGTTATTAAAGAAATGTTGAACATTAAGTTGGAAAATTGTAATCCCCATTATTTCTTGCACTTCGCTCGTGTACTGCGGTCTGAACGCCTGCAAGTAATGTCATGTTTGGTATCCACACTATCCCTGGTGGACTCGTCAAGGGGAGGAGGGAACTTCTGCGTAGTTGCTTGTGTATTAAAAATGCCATCATCTTCACTAGAGGTGGTAATATTAACAGACTCATTAGAATCGTTAGTCATCTTCAGAAAACTGAGGTATGATATTCCCAGTTACAGGAAGCAGAGGCTCGTGAGAGTTAATCGAGCTACAGGAACTGTAAAAATAAAAGATCAACAGTAAGGTATAGCATGTGTAGAATACCTAGGATAACCCAAAAAAGTCACACTGGGTTCGGTGTCTTTGATGGGTGACACTGTCATGCAAATTCGGGTATCATCAGCAAAGGACAAGCTACGGTGGCTTACATCTCTATGTCAGAAATGAGGATGAAGAACAGGATGGGAGCCAGTACTGTGCCTTATGGAACAGAGCTTTTCACTGTAGCCACCTCTGACTTTGTTTACTATTTGTTAGGAAGTTATAGATCCATCTAGCCGCTTATTATTCCTTTATTACGCATTTTGTGTGCGGTGTCCAGTAGCTCGATCGCTAGCGCACTCAACTCACACACTGAGGTCCGGAGTTTGAATCTCCTCCGGTACGGCTGGAAAACATTAGGGACATAAGGCACCTGCTGTCCCTGTTCACCCATCAGTTTAAAATGGATACCTGAGAGTTAGTAGACTGGTGTGGGTCGCATCCTGGGACCAAAACTGACCTAATTTGTCCGAAATGCTCAGCATAGCAAACGGTTTTCTATACAGTAGTGTCATTGATGTCTGCTAGGACTGTATACCTTGTACTTGTAGTATATAAAGATATATTATTATTGTACATATACTTGTAGAGATAAAGATATTATTACTGTTACACCAGTAAGCTTACGCAAAGACCATGTCATAATGATGAAGTAGTTGTGAGAGGCAGGAGCGACCTTATATGCTAGCAAAGTACGATAAGATAATTATGATAAGGGTGTCCCGTAGCTCGATCGCTCGAGCACTCAGCTCACACACTGAGGTCCTGCGGTCGATCCCCGGTACGGGTGGAAACATTAGGACGTGTTTCCTTAAGACACCTGCTGTCCATGTTCACATAGCAGTTTAAAATGGGTACCTAGGTGTTAGTCGACTGGTATGAGACAAAATTGACCTAATTTGTCCGAAATGCTCTTCGTAACAAGGGGTTTTGTGTATAGTAGTATGTCATTGATGTCAGCTAGGACTGTATACCTTGTACATGTACTTGTAGATATAAAGATTATTATTATAGTTGTTTTGTGATTGTATGAATATACACACCGAGAGATGTATACCCCTCGGTGTATATACACTAAGGTTAATTTAATTACTTTTAAGGGATTAAAGTATTCTTGTCAGGTGGTGAACAGCATCCCAGTGGAGATAGTCACTTTACACTATATATGATACTTGTGCTTATATGTACCAATGCCTAACTTACTGAGTAGGTTCCATGCAGTTTTAATGACTCTGGTGATAGAATAGTTAGTTTAGTTTAATAACCTCATTGTATTCCCCATAGTCATCACGTAGACGGTAGTCAGAAGGTTACAGAGGCACATGATGTGTCTTAAACTTCATTAACCAATGCATTACACCCGAGCTATACATGGAGAAGTTCCACTCATTCCCTCCTCCACTAGCATTATACGCATCATTATACCCATTATGTACCTCTGTAATCTTTTGACTTCCCCCACAGGATGGGTATGAAGTGCATAATAAACATATTAACCTCAACTAACATCGAGAGGTGTATTTATCTCAGCGTATATATATGCTTACAGTTTAATAAGTCCCATTTTAGGGTTTAAAGTATTCTTGTCTGGTGGTAGATAAATTAGGTACAGCTTCGGTGGTCACTGTTGAAGGCGATAGGTTTTATACCCCATTAATCATTAACATTTGTGTTGTAGTGTTATGAGGTAGTGTGTGAGTGGTGGCGCTGGTGTCAGCAGTGCCAGTGGTTATGGGGGAGACACTGCAGGGAAGTGCCACTATGCCTCAACCTCAGCCACTTTCCGCCAGTCACATAGGGTAAGACTTTAACATATACCCAAGACAACCTTGTAAAGATCATGTTGAAAAACAATAAAATATGAGCACACTTCACTACTACTTGTTCAGACTGACCCACCCATCAGAATGTACCGCTATTTACAGTGCACAAATTTCCTAATATATGTATATATATATACATATTAGCATGCAGACACTTTTTGATATTCATCTTGCACATAAACATGACAGTTGAATGTACTGTACATAAATATTTGTGTAGTACAGCCAAGATTTGCCACGACAACACTTTCTAATTTGTTCTGCCAGACAGTATACGTATGTAGTATATATCAGTCATAATATATAATGAATTTTAACCAAATCTTCCATGTCAGTAACTGCCAGTTTTCACTGATTGCCACACTTATTTACATGATTTTTCAAACTGATTTTCACCTGGAAATATCCTTGTAGAACTTGAGAGATACTGTTTGGTTTCACTAGGTTATCCTAGGATAAATTCTACATGCTTTACGATACAAAATTATTTTTAAAGCTTAAAATTATGAGGCCTCAATAAAAATATGTCTGTGCAAAACGGAGAACATTTTATTAGGGTTTTCGTCCATGGGGCAAAATATATTTATTAAATGTTCTAAGTTTTATTCAAGTCTTTGTTGCAACAGTTCCCCTCAAGGAAGGTTCCTTGATGTTGGTGAGGGGCTCTTGATTTAGGGAATTGGATTTGTGCTCCAGTTCCCCGAATTAAGCCTGAATGCCTTCCACATCCCCCCCCCAGGCGCTGTGTAATCCTCTGGGTTTAGCGCTTCCCCCTTGATTATAATAATAATGTTGCAACAGTTTTTTTTTATATTTATATACCCAGTACAGGTATTTATGCTACTGTACTGTATATATTTTTTCATGAATGAAATACTTGTGCAGCACTTGGGTATCTTTATTGTGGAAATTTTTCCAATCGGTGGCTCTATCATACCAATACAGAGACAAAGATATGAGGTGATCAGTCCCTAGAGATAGACAAAGACAGAATTTTTTTCTTTGCAGAGGTTACAATGTGTTATTACACTTTATAATTCGTTAGGTACAAAGAAAGCCACTCATGCCCGTGCATTTTGGGCAGACTAATCCTAATACTTAAAAACTACTTAATTCTAGACAATGGTAAGAGTACAGCATATGCACAGGGGTGGCACTTGTATACTGAATGTACTGAAGGTAAGTAAGGCAAAGCAGTTGGAGGAAGCATCACAGGTGGGCAGAGCCCCTCTGCTACCTGTATACATAGCTATCATAGTGTATATAAGTGGGCAGTCTCTCTCTGCCCACCTGTGACATGACCTCGACTGCTTTTCATCACCTGTTTTCAGCATATAAGTCCCTTCCTTATGCATTTGTTGCACTATTATCCAGGCTGATAGACTTCCACCCCACCAGGAATTGAACCCGGGCCCTCTGTGTGTGAAGCGAGAGCTTTAACTACCAGGCATTTGCACTAGTAATGTAAACTATAATAAACGCCTATGTTTTTCCTCAAGTAAATATAGAATAAAAAATCAAGTTTTTTTTCTTAGAAACGTACATGGAAGTTACAGTGGTTGGGGTCACAGTTCACTTGATTGCAATTTGAATATAATTATGATACACTTAAATTCCAGTAGTAGTTATAAGTTTATTTTAAGGCTGCCCAAAATGTTCTGCATAACCAGAGGCTTTCCATAAAGTATGTCAATAATGTCACTTTTTTCTGAATTATGTATAAACCATACTTTGTTAGAAATATAATTTATCTATATCATCTATTATCAAATATATGCTTGACAGTTCTTTTTTGAGATTAGGTTATACATGTATATAAAGGAATTACAGCGTACTATATAGAATTAAAAAATTACAATATTTCTTAGTATTTACAAACATTGTCTCTACGTCCACAGCAGGACTCGAACCTGCTAACTCTGTATCAGGGTCCACAGTACTTTACCATGGAGCTAGACCCAAGATTTTCTTGGGTCTAGCTCCGTGGTAAAGTACTGTGGACTCTGATACAGAGTTAGCAGCTTCGAGTCCTGCTGTGGACATAGAGACAATGTTTGTAAATAATTTCACCTGTTTGCAAATTGTTAAGCATTTCTTAGTATATTAATTGAGATTTGTACTATATTTATTGATTACTTACCCTAGAATGTCCCTACACTTGTATCGTTTCCTTGACCAGTTGAATTGATGGAGTTCATCTGTTTATATGAAATTTTGCCCTTTTATAGGTTATAACATTGTCAAGTCAGAGTCAGATTTTATTTCCAATAATTATAGGTTGTTTCTTTAATAATGGGATTGCATTTTAAGAAAAACCCATTGTTGTTGTAAAGCATTTTGAGAAGACTAACACTAGTACTTGTGAATTAATGCTTAATACTATTATAGGTATTTGTATATGGATAATAAATAATTTAATTTTTTGTGACAATTCAGTAGGAATAATTTCTGTACCTAATGACATGTATTTGAGTGCAGTAGGGAGGCAGTTGAATAGGATATCAGTATAAAATATAATTGACACTGTATATGTGCTTGTGTTTCATATTGTTAGTTTATTGTCTGCTCTCTGCATGCTTAAATTGCATCTTCTGTCACTGACAGTTTTTTTGTTTTTAAGTACAGTATTGTGCATTTGTTTTTTTATGAGACCATTTCATGCATATCAAAGGACCCAAAATTTGTAACCAACCAACCTAAAGGGCAAAAATTGCTTAAGAAGTATGTTTAAAAATATCTCCTAATCTACATGTAATATTATTTACCACAAATGTGTAACAATCATAAACATTTACTGTATGAATTGTAATCCAAACAACTTTATATAAATATTATTCATATTAATAATAATAATAATAATAATAATAATAATAATAGTAATAATAATAATCTTTATTTCTACAGGTATATGACACAACTGATACGGGCCTAGTTGATATAATTGACATACCTTATAGAAAGCCCCTGGAATGCAGAGCATTTCAGGCAACTTAGGTTAATATTGTCCTCAGGATGCGACCCACACAAGTCGACTAACACCCAGGTACCTACTTACTGCTAGGTGAACAGGGGCAGCTGGTGTAATGAAGCATGTCCTACATTTCACCTGTCCTGAGGATCGATCCCGGACCCTCAGTGTAAGCTGAGAATGCTATCGACTAAAACCAAAACTGTTTTATTCCATATCCAAATACCCATACTAGTAGTAAGTGGTTCTTAAGTACAGTACTAGTTTTAATCATAAGAACATAAGAAAGGAGGAACACTGCAGCAGGCCTGTTGGCCCATACTAGGCAGGTCCTTTACAATTCATCCCATTAACAAAACATTTGCCCAACCCAATTTTCAATGCTACCCAAGAAATAAGCTCTGATGTGCAAGTCCCACTCAAATCCAACCCCTCCCACTCATGTACTTATCCAACCTAAATTTGAAACTACCCAAAGTCCTAGCCTCAATAACCCAACTAGGTAGACTGTTCCACTCATCAACTACCCTATTTCCAAACTAAAACTTTCCTATGTCCTTTCTAAATCTAAACTTATCTAATTTAAATCCATTACTGCGGGTTCTCTCTTGGAGAGATATCCTCAAGACCTTATTAATATCCCCTTTATTAATACCTATCTTCCAGATTTCTTTACAAAAGGCTTTCCTTGGAATATACAAAAATTGTAATCTCAGAGCTGAATCCACAGCCTGTAATTCTGGAAATTAATTTTGAATGCATAATTTGATTTTGACTAAAATAATTCTAACCAACCCTAATATAACTAGGCTTGGTTAAGTGGAGTAATGTATGTAGAAATAACTTTTTTTTCACATTTTCACTTGAAAAGTATACAGTATTATATCTTCTGAATCAAGAATGCAGGAAAGGAGGAAGTGTATACTGTCCAATAAGCATGCAGTATACAGTGGTACCTCGAGTTTCGAACAGCTCCTAACCTGAACAATTATGTAAGTGTATTTTTGTAAGTGGTTTTCTAAGTGTATTTTTGGGGGTCTGAAACTGACTAATCTAATTTACAGTATTCCTTGTGGGAACAAATTCGTTTGGTATCAGCACTCGAACAGCCTTCTGGAACGAATTAAGTTCATAACCGATGTACCACTGTATTGTCTTGTAATTGAATCTCAGGAATGAGGGACTTCATAAACATTATGTAAGAATTTGAAATAATCTTTGTAAAATATTTAAAACACTTATTTTTTTTATAGGAGTTTTGCCTACTTGACGGTGAAGGATCGCCTGCCAGTTATTCTTACTCGTGTTGTTGATTATCTCTACAGGGAGAAGGACTCGTTAGGAAACAATTATGGAAAGGTGAGAATTGTGACACATTGTGTATGCATGTACATACTGTACTGTAGTATGTATTATATATGTGACTATACAGCATAAGTTAACTCACATAAAGACAAAATAATGAGAGGAAAGTAATAAGAGATCTGTATGTTTTTGCTTCATATTGAGGCCTTCTTCAGCAAACTCAAATATTAATAAGAAGCTTGTATAGCAGAGTGAGGGACAGAAATGTGACCACAGGGCAAGGGTTGTGATAGCATCAGGTTTCTGTAGGTTCGTGAAATATTGAATTTGTCATGATTCCATAACATCTGAATCAAGAATTTTGCATTTCTGCATATAATTTGTTATGCATCCCTGTACAGTATAATGGAACCAGTGCCCCAGTTACTAGTGAAAATGTGATTATTAATGTGTGGAAAACTGCTGAACTGTTTTGTACATGTCTAATAAATCTTGTTTGTTTAATAATTCTAATTCTACTGATTAAATTTATGCTAAACAAATGCATTACAGTTACCTGTTTTGTTAGGATAATGAGTTATAATTTTGTTTTGACTTAAGATTACATTTTTCATGTGGTAAGAGATTAAAACATTACCAGGAGTATCAGTTTTCATTGTGTTGCTTTTATTTTTTATTGTACTACAGTATATGGTAATTATTATTGGCTCTTGATTGTTAGTGTACTTGGCTCACACTCTGAAGTCTGGGGGTCAGTCCCCAGTATGGTTGGAAACATTAGGACATATTTAAATTAAGATACCTGCTGTCCAATGTTCACCCATAGTAAAACGGGTACCTGGGTATTAGTCAACTGGCGTGGGTCACATCCTGGGATAAAATTAACCTAATTTCCCCAAAATGCTCTACATAACAAGGGCTTTCTGTATAGTTGCATGGCATTGATGTCAGCTAGGCCTGTATCCCTTGTATGTACATGTACTTGTAGAAATTATTATTATAATTATTATTATTATTATTTTCTTTTTTCAAAAGTCGGCCGTCCCCCACCCAGGCAGGGTGACCCAAAAAAGAAAGAAAATCCCCAAAAGAAAATGCTTTCATCATCATTTAACACTTTCACCACACTCACACATAATCACTGTTTTTGCAGGGGGTGCTCAGAATACAACAGCTTAGAAGCATATACGTATAAAGATACACAACATATCCCTCCAAACTGCCAATATCCCAAACTCCTCCTTTAAAGGGGCAGGCATTGTACTTCCCATTTCCAGGGCCTCAAGTCCCACTATATGAAAATAACCAGTTTCCTTGAATCCCTTCAAATAATATTTTCCCTGCTCACACTCCAGCAGATTGTCAGGGTCCAAGTACCATTCGTCTCCATTCACTCCTATCTAACACGCTCACGCACGCTTGCTGGAAGTCCAGCCCTTGCCCACAAAAAACCCCCCTTTACCCCCTCTCTCCAACCATTTCGAGGACGACCTTACCTCGCCTTCCTTCCCCCATAGATTTATATGCTTTCCATGTCATTCTACTTTAATCCATTCTCTCTAAATGACCAAAACCCCCTCAACAACCCCTCTTCTGCCCTCTGACTAATACTTTTATTAACTCCACACCTTTCCTAATTTCCACACTCCGAATTTTTTTGCATAATATTTACACCACACATTGCCCTTAGACAGGACATCTCCACGCCTCCAACCGTCTCTCTTCGCTGCTGCATTTACCACCCAAGCTTCCCCACCCATATAAGAGTGTTGGTACTACTATACTTCATACATTCCCTTCTTTGCCTCCATAGATAAGTTTTTTGACTTTCCCCATATACCTCAAAGCACCACTCACCTTTTTTTCCCTCATTTAGTTCTATGATTAACCTCATCCCTTCATAAATCCATCCGCCGACACATCAACTCCCAAGTATCTGAAAACATCACTTTTCCATACTCCTCCTCCCCCAATTTGTATCCAATTTTTCTTTATCTAAATCATTTGATACCCTCATCACCTTATCTTTTTTATGTTCACTTTCAACTTTCTACCTTTACACACATTCCCAAAAATCATCCACTAACCTTTGTAATTTTTTCTTTTAGAATCTCCCATAAGCACAGTATCATCAGCAAAAAGTAACTGTGTCAATTCCCATTTTGAATTTGATTCCCCATAATTTATCCCACCCCTCTCCCGAACACCTAGCATTTACTTCTTTTTACAACCCTATCTATAAATATATTAAACAACCATGGTGACATTACACATCCCTGTCTAAGACCTACTTTTACCGGGAAGTAGTCTCCCTCTCTTCTACACACCCTAACCTGAGCCTCACTATCCTCATAAAAACTCTTTCAGCATTTAGTAACTTACCACCTATTCCATATACTTGCAACATCTGCCACCATTGCTCCCCTATCCACTCTATCATATACCTTTTCTAAATCCATAAATGCAATAAAAAAATTCCTTTCCTTTATCTAAATACCCGTTCACATATATGCTTCAATGTAAACACTTGATCTACACATCCCTACCCACTCTGAAACCTCCTTGCTCATCCGCAATCCTACATTCTGTCTTACCTCTAAATTCTTTCAATTATAACCCTACCGTACACTTTTTCCTGGTATAAATCAATAAACTTTTCCTCTATAATTTTTACAATCTCTTTTTTCCCCTTTCCCTTTATATAAAGGACTATACATGCTTTCCGCCAATACCTAGTACCTTCCCCTCCTTCATACATTTATTAAACAAAAGTACCAACCACCCAACACAAAACCCCCCTGCTTTT